CCGGCACGTCCACTTCGGCCGTGTGTGTGTGTGTGGCGGAGGGAAAGGAGGGCCCTTGAGCCCCGCTGCGGTGTGCGGTTTGCCGCTGCGGGCTATCGAGAGGGAACATGCGGAGTAACGTACACAAAACCGTCTTCTGCCGTTGCTTCTGTTTTTTCTCCTTAACGGGACGGCGATGCCTCTGTCATTCCTTCTTTCTCTGTTTGTGTGTGTGTTGGTTGAATGCACCCATTCCGCGGGCTGCTTATATCTGTGTGTGTTTGCCCCATTTTCTCTCTCTCTATTTATGCCCCTCGCTAGACGCTTTGCGTGCGTGTGTGTTTGCTGCGGTGGGAGGAGTGTGGCGATGGCTGGCCGTGCGCTGTTGGTGTGCGCCCTCTGCGTGCTGTGCTGCGCCGCCGGCGGGGGCTGGGCGGCGGAGGGGGACTACTGCACGGAGCGCGACTGGAGGGACTTGCGGGCGGTCGCGAAGGACATGAGCGACGCGGAAATTGTGGCGAAGTACTGCGGCCGCAAGCCGGAGTTTGTGCGTGGGCTGCGGGCGAGTCTGCAGGGCGATGAGGCGGAGGGGGAAGGGCCTGGCCACGGCGGAGGGAGCGGCGATGCCGAAAGAAAAGTCCCGCGAGCCTCAGGGGAAAGCGCCGAAGGTGCATCAGAGAAAAAGCCTGAAGGTTCCGGGGAAGTGGGAGGTCCAAAGGGACCAGACGCACCACGAGGAGTATCTCCAGCGGCAGACACGACAACAGAGCCCTCACAGCCACAAGCAGGGAAGCCTAAAAATGAGGTGGACGCCGGCGTTGACTCGGTCGGCAAAGAACCCACGGTCCCAGCGGGTGTCACAAACAGTACGTCAGCTGGAAGCGAACCGGAAACAGCTCTACCGACCGCCTCCCAAACTCCCGATGGTGCTGCCAGCAGTCAGGCGCAAGAAGCCAATGGAAAGGGTGGCAACAGCACTCCAGGGGCCGGTGCCGCAGTGTCATCGGCACATACGACAAGGCAAACAGAGCCGGCGTCGACACCACCAAAGCCGCCAACGCCAACTGAAGGGCCAGGGGGAGCAGGGAAGGAGATGACATTGGAGACAGCTCCTTCGAATGAAAATGGTACCGAGGACAGTGTGCCCAGTGATGGCAATAACGTCGTTGAAGAGGAACATAAGACAAAAAAAGTTATGCCGGCCCCAGCTGACACAAGTAATACACCGGATGGAAGGGCGGTGGATGCAGCTCAACCCACTGCCCCTTCGGGCGGCGGTGGGACTTCAGGCGGACAGGCTGGAACGAAGGCTGAGGCGATTGCCGAGGATTCTGCAGGGCCTGTTGTCGCGGCGGCCCCAGGAGCCCAACAGCAAGGTGTAGCTGCCGCTGGTACACCGACGAGCAGCGAGAAGGAGCCGCTGCCAACAGCAGAGGGCACCGCCACTGAGGCCAGTCACCCAGCGACGACGACTGGCGGTGGCAGCGGCAGCAGCCCCGCGGTGCAGCCGCAGCCGGGGAGCTCCGTGGCGACAAACGAAGCTGGTCAGCGAGAACAGAAGCAGCCCGCAGCTACCGCACCCAAGCAGGAACCCGAAACGAGTGGTGAGAGAGGGGAGGCCGCCCAGTCGGCAGCGGGGGCGGCTGCTCAAGCGGCGACCACCACCACCAATTTGACGAGTGCAGCGAAGGCGGCGCCCGGCGACAGCGACGGCAGCAGCACCGCGGCCGCGCACTCCGCCTCCCCACTTGCGCTGCTTCTTCTGCTTGCGTGTGCGGCTGCCGCTGCGGTGCTGGCCGCGTGAGGGGCAGAGAGAGGGCCGTGCACACACAGCTTGCCCTTCGTTGTTTGTTTCTCTCGCTTTGTGTGTGTGTGTCCCCCTGCACGGACTCTCTCGCCCTCGTCGCACCCCACGAGGCACACACACATAATGTGCTCGTATATACACACAACTCCACTCATGCAGGCCCGTCGGTTTTCTTCCTCTTTTGCACCCGACGAGCCGCTGCCGTCCTGCTTGGCTGCATGGGTACAGCACCGTAACTGTTTTTGTCATTTTTTTATTTTGTTTGTTTGTTTGTTTCCATTGCTTTCAGTGGGCGACCTCTATTCCTCTCTCTCTTCCTGGATTGGGCTGTGCGGGAACAGAGAGAGAGTGTGTGCGCTGGTCTTCCCACGTGTTGCTGCGCGTCCCCACTGCTCGGTGGACACGCCCCCACGCTTCGGCTTCACTCCACGGGTTTATTTTTGTTTTAAATTTCTTTGCTTGTGTTTGTGTTTGTGGTTTGTGTGCCCGCACACGTTTTGCAGCTCGTGTGTGTGCGATGCACTCTGCAAGGGGGGAGGGCAACTTTATTTTGGCTTCAATCGACTGTCTTTTCCCCTTTAATGCTGCCTGCTCAGCGCCGTGCGTGCGGCGGACGGGAGTAAATGCCCGGAGGCGGAGTCGCAAAAATCCGTCGTGCCGCGGTGCGGCGGGGATGTGTGGCTTTGCCTCCTCCTCCTCCTCCTCGTGCCTGCAGCCGCCCTTCCCTTCCCCTCCTCTTCTCATTCCCCTCCCGCAGACAAGTGCCGCGCTACCACCACTGCAGTCATTCTTCACCAAACTCAGGCACACACACGCCTTTCTCACGCCATGCACCGCCGACTCCGCGCCGCGCCGTTTCTCCCACTGCTGCTGCTGCTGCTCGTGATGCACTGCGCCAGTGGGTGCCGCGCCGCTGCACACCGCCGGGTGTTCGACGATACGGTGCCGAAGAGGGGCCGGCCGCCGGCTGCGGTGGTGCGTGAGGTGCCGCGGAGGGGGCAGGGTGCGGCGCAGGCGTACACCGTCGCAACGGCAGCGGCGGCAGAAGGAACGAGCAGCGAGGGCTGGGCGCCCATCCGCATCGAGGTGTCCACGGAGGACCTGGAGGAGAAAACACAGAAGTTGGGGATGAAGAGGTACTGCGCTGCTGATGGGGTCCAGTGCATGAACTACTTGGGGGAAACGATAACTTGCAAAGCCGATCATGTACTGACGGGGCAAAAGAGGAGTTGTATACGACGAAGATTATTCCCGGGGCGTCAAGCTGCACGCGGAGCGACTTCTCGTGCAGCCAGTGGCTGAGAAAATTGAATTGCCACGGAATCTCGATGTTGCGTGTCAGCACTTTACAATTCCAATTGAGCACAAGAGGAGCGGGGG